TTTTTTTATTTTCTCTTAATTTTTCAAAAAAAAAAAAAAAAAATCTTTTATAAAGCATTTTTTTTAAAAAAAAAAAAAAAAAAAAAGGATTTTGCTAAATCGTATCTTATTTCACCTTAATGCAAAAAACATTATTGTGCAGCAGAAGTCGCTGCTGCTGCCAACCTGTGTGAGGGTCATCCTGGTGATGATGGCCAGCATGATCTTCTCCCCCTTGGTGGGGTACGGGTTCTTCTGGTGCTCCTGCAGCCAGGCCTTCAGGGTGCTGGTGGTCTCCCTGGTGGCCGTCTTGGCCCGGGACGGGTCCCCGTAGGGGTACTGGCCGTATGGGTAGAAGCCCTGAGCGGGGTGGACGGGCAGCGAGGCCGCTGGGTGGGAGCCCGGGCCGTCCTTCAGCTCGTACTGGGAGCCCTGGGAATAGCACCGGGGAGAGGAAGGCAACTTGTTGAATAACGTCTACACTGTAAAACGGGATTTTTTTTATTTTTGGAACGGATTAAATATTAGTCATACTTTAAATCTTATTAAAGTGTATCAGTTTTTTATGTTAAACAATGTTTACAATTTCGATTATAATTGTATATTTGTAGTTTATTAGACCCAAAAGTGAAGAGTGAGGCTGATATGCTTATATTGGTTTTATCATGAATAAATTACCTTGCTAAATAATAAGAATTATCATAAGACTTGAGGTTTTGTCAGAATTTTAATTTGTATCGAGCTTTAAATAGTTTAGCACTAGAGCTAATGCTAAAGTCAAACTTCCCAGAAAGTTGAATGTCCTGCCGGTAAATGGCACGTATCAGTGGAAGAGTTGGTTAGAATAGATTTAAAGTTTTATTATTGTTCCAGTCAATTCTTCAGTCACAGTTAAAAACCAATAATGGATTTTTGTTTCTTTACAACATTGGAGAATAAACTGGATGAGCAGAAATGATCTGAAAACATTTTTTTAAAGTGTAACTTATATGCTTGAACAATTGGATTTATAATAGTTTACTGAATTTACCTTTTTTTTCCCTCCAGAAATTATGTTTGCAAAATGTTGGTTAAATTTATTGGCTAAACTGCAACAGTTATTTTAACCAGTGTATTAAGTACTGCCCCACCAAAATTAACTCCAGAAATAATTGTTGTTTCGGATATAATTTTACTTCCTTTCAAGTTAAAAACTAAATAATATGGTTTTACTCCAAACTACTTTTATATACATTGTAGATTTTTTAACTTAGCACAGGTATGTTTCTGAAGTGAAAAAAAATATACTTTTTTACATTTCCAATATTTTAGTGGTGTTATGAAAAAAAGTATTTCAAAATTGACACGTATTAGTTAAAAAATTCAGAAGATTTTAAAATTACTCAGCGTGCAAACAAATAACGGGACCTAAGAAGAAAATAAACGTAACTTACAATACCGGAGTTTTGCAGAAACGGGTGTTTTTTTGTTTTGTTTTTTTTTTTTTTCCAGTTAAAAGTTTACTTTCTACATGTTTAAATGCGCAGAAAGAGGAAAAAAACACACGGTCTGCGCATGGACCTGTCTTATAACACCTGAGCGTCTAGAGCAGCAGCTCTTACCATCTGGGATATGAGGGCGAGGTCCGCCGCTCCGCTGTACGGCAGAAAGGCACTGTAGTTCGGAGCCGCCCACGGGCTTCCGTACATCCCCAGCATAGAGCCGACAGCCGCGGCCGTAGCGGAGGAGCTCACTGCGCCCTCCGTGCCTCCGTCCCGGGCGGCTGAGGCCGGCCGCTCGCTCCCGTACACCTCATGTGAGGCACTGAGGAACTGGGGGAACCCCAGCTGAGGGAAAGACATGTCCGGGGGAGAGGGGGAAAAAAGTCCGTGCGGTACAGAGCTCCACAAAAGTCAAAAGAGGAATACAGCAAGAAAAAAAAAAGAAAAGAAAGAAAGTAGGAATCCTCAGATAGAAAAAAAGGGGAGGAGGAGGGAGGGTGGGGGGTTGCTGTCTAAACCTAAAGATACCCCCTTTATTTCAGAAACTGCCAAGCGTCTCCTCCTCTCCGCCGCCACGGAGTAGCTAATGTCAGAGCCGCAGTTTGGCACCTCGAGAGCGGAGTGATGCGAGCGTCTGGCCGCGGGAGCTTTGTGGATGTGGAGCTGACTGACTGATTGGCAGCCTACTTAAGCACCAAGCTCCTCCTATGCCCGGGGCAGGCGATTAGTGCATTGGTTAGCCCAGGTCGCGCGTATGTGTGAGTGTGTTGGCGAGTATGTGTTGAAGTGTGTGATTTAATTTCAGCAGAGCGCACGTGTGATAGTGTGTGCATATATAGGCCTGGGTGTATCATTATTATTATTATTATTATTAATATTCGTAATTACCCTTTTTAAAAAATAATTTTTGGAAGGTATTTTTGAAGGGTACTCGGGGACATTCTTGCCTCATAGATCGGCCCCGCTGGCATCAGTCCTCGGTCAGGTCCCCAAGGGAAGTCCCGCGATTATAGTCAGGAGTCAGTGGAGCTTCGTGTTTTCAGGGCAAAGATAAAGAATGCTGAAGGTAATGTCAGAGATGGAAGAGGATACCAGATGGTAGAGAGATAGAGAGGACTGTGGAGTGAAAACTGACAAACAGGGCCAACCAAAGGCTGTATGAGGCCCCGAGTAGATATTTGGGGGCCCATTTCCAGCTAATCCATGAAGGCATAATATCATAATTGGTCTGACATATTGATTGTTGCATGCTACCACCTTCTTAAAATAATGGCCTATGTCTTTAAAAAAAAAATAATAATAATCTTTTGGCAAGAAAAAGGTTGTTTTTGTTTCTTTTATTTTTTTATATATATTTTCCAAAAATTACTTTTGGTTAAAAAAAAATGACTGAGGTCATTATTTTAGGAAGGTGATGAAGTACAATTATAACAACCATTGAATGTATTTATTATTATTTTGGTTTTGAAAATACAGTGCTATACACTTAACCTCCTTTTATATAGCTATTTTCAGTAGCACTAAGGTAACATTGAGTTGTCTTCACTTGTTAACATCTGCACTGAAGAGTGGATGGCCTAGTGCTTAGAATGTTACATTCACTGGTCATGAAAATAATGGATTTTTAAGTTTCGGACTGGTTGAATATCCAAGTATTTTGTTCATTAGTTGATAATTTATTGCATCTCTAAGTTTAAGAGGTAATTATAAAGTGTTTACTGTTATGGAGTAAGATGGACGTTGCCTGGTAATGCTAGCTAACCTGGAGTTGCCAAAAAGTCACCAAAATGGAACTCGTAGTTTGGCCCCTGTTTTATAAAATATGATAGTGCAGCTATTTTAGTTTCTGTTGTGATCCTTCAGAGTTAGAAGCTTCATTTATGATTCTGTTTTGGTCGTTATTTTATTGTTAATTGGCTTATCTCTCACTATTTTAGCCAATTTTCAATATTTCTCCCTTTCTCAATTTACCGGTATGATTCCCGTCCCAGCTGCTTCACATCTCCTGATTTCCCTCCACCTGCTCTCTTCCCCAGCTGCTTCCACTTACCTCTGATTAGCCCCTCCGGTTCCCATGCCTCTCTCTCCCCTCCCTCAGTGTACTGAAGCTTTCTGGTTTGTTCTCCACTTGTTTCACCGTCCGTCTGTCATGTTTCTCCTTCCCCAGTGTTTTCCCTCCATCGTACATTTCAAGTTTCTTTTTGTTCATTTTTCCATTAAAAGACTTGGTTCCTCCTTAGCCTCAGATTTGACAGTTTCCACGTAGTGACTGTGTAGAAATAGTTCCAAATACAAAGGTGTGTTTTGTGTTAACAAGGTAAATATAGTAATCTTGTTTCAGCCGGTTTAGTAGTGCAGAAACAACTTTTTAATTGGGTTGAATGTGTTCAAGTTTTCTTTTTGTCCACATGAAAAATGATTAAATCTTGTCGATCTTCTTTCTCAGCCTCGACAAATAGCAACAACAAAAAAATAAAATTAGCATTAAAATGTCTCTTGTCTACTGTCTGAATCCTGAAATGTTAATATTAGTTTTTTTTTTTTAAATTTAACTGTTTATTTTACGTTTGTGGTTAATATACAACAAAAGCAGAGTTTGAAGTGTCTTGCAGTTGTTTGAAACGCTTTTCCAACATCAGCAACAAATATCCAACAAAATTCACCAGCATGTTTCTGAACGTAGCCGGTTTTTGTCTAGATCTGGACCTTTGTTAAACAGTTTTCTAAATCACTTAAATCAAAAATATTCCGTTTTAGCAGATCGCCGTAAGTTCTCGCAAAGCACGCTTATGCCTCCGGCCGGCTCTGCTAAGAGCAGGAACAATCTGATGCTTCAGATAAAATAAATAAATAAAAAGTGACGTTTGGAGAATCAGGGGGAGAAAAAAACAGGTTGTTTCCTCATTGAGGCGTCTCGGCTATCACAACAGGCACTCTGCTTCGGTTTGATCCGTTAAAACACACACGCACACACACGCACACACTCCTTGTGCCCACACACTCCGTCACACTCACACTCGGGCGGTGCTAATGAGGTCGAGCACCCTGCACCCTGCTCAGAGGCCCCGTGGCCCTCCCGGTCTCCCTCAGAGGTTAGCTGTGTAATTACTCCATCCCCATAAATACAGATTCATCATTTCACACTCTGAGCCTCTGATGAGCTTGGCTGAGCTGAGAGTGAGTGAGGGAGAGAGAGAGAGAGAGGGATGAGGGGTGTGTGTGTGTGTGTCTAATGATTTAATTACAGTGCTTAAAGCCCACTCTGGCTAAGTGACGGTCCGCTCTTCTGTGTCTTCTTCCTCCCGTTTCCTCTCCCTCTTCGACGCTGGCACCTAGAGGGGCTTTACTCATGAATCTCAAAGCTGTTTTTTTTTTTTCCTAAACACACATTATGATGAGCGTTGCCACCACCGCTATATATATGTGTGTGTGTGTGTGTGTGTGTGTGTGTGTGTTTGAGAGAAACACAGAGTGAGAGAGGGAGAGAGGATGCTTAATCTCCATGGCATTTTAAATGGCATTCATGGAGGGCGGCTCGATCCTCATTGCCAAGGTAAATGGAGCCAGGGGACTCTCCATTTCAGCTCGATAAAAGAGCAATGTTAAAGACCCTCACCGTTACCCTCCCCTCCTCTTCCTCACCCATCCCTTCTCTCTCTCTCTCTGCCTCCCCGCTCACTTAAAATTAATGTTTTTCTCATGACAGGGGAGGGAAACGAGACATATCCACCATCTAATAGGATAATATAGCCCCCCCCATTCACCACCGTCACCGCTGCCGCCCCTCCCTCCGCGCTCCCCTCCCCGCCTTTGTAGCTGCCTGATTTCCATAGTGTCTCTGTGGAGAGGCAGTTAATGAATTCCTCTGAGCTGAAGAAAGGGGGAGAATGGTTTGGCGGTTTAGAGAGAGAGAAAGAGAGAGAGAGAGCGAGAAAGAGGTAGGGGGAGGAAAGCTTTGAGCTATGCCATTCAACTTCACAGCCTCGGCCTGTTTGTGCATTCACCGCGTGTGTTTGTGTGTGTGTGAGTGTGTGTGTCTTTTAACATGAACCTGCTAAGACTACCAAATATTTAGACTGGCCTCAGACCTCGCTGTTTTTTTTTTTTTTTTAAACAGTGACGGTGGATTGAGGGATCTCTGGAGGCAGCTTGACTCTATTTGAATCCAATTCCCTGCTATTAGCTCGGCCCAGACAAAGGAATAACTTACCGCAGAAAAGCCCTTCAAATAAAGTCCCACAATCCAGTTCCTCCTGGGCAATTTGCACTGAGGTAAATGAAGACACCCCGCCCCAAAAAAATATCATGAAACTGACACGTTTTCTCTCTCTCTGGCTGGTACAGCAGAGGTGGCAGTGATAGTTTCACGGTGGAGAAAGTACTCAAAAAATGTACTTAAGTAAAAGTACAAAAGTACTGGCTTTTAAAAATACTTAAGTATTAAA